GAATAATGAACATGAAGAGCCCTACAAATAATTTGTTTACAAAAATATTCTTTTATGTGATATTTTGTCACCGTATAGTGTGTCAAAAGTCTCTCCATATTTGACCTATGGCCTCTCAATTTACAGATCTAAAAAGCGATGATCATATGGGTGACCGGTCGCCTTAACAGTGTGTCACCCTATTGTTAGTTATTATAAAGTTTCAGCTGGATTTCAATTATAAAATGAACCCGTGCTTTGAGTTAATTTATGATTTTGTCTACTTGTCATATTTGCGGTCAAATATGGCACGCGATTTCAAGTAGGTTTTGACAATGAAGAGGACTTTGTATTTTTTGGAGTGTGAATACACGTCACAAGTACGCTTAACGGAATCCTATCCTAACTCATTTTAATTTGTTTATAATACACCGAGGTCATTTACAAGGTCAATGCGTGAATCCAAACATGGCCAGGCAGGGGCGAAGCCAGGAGATTTCAAAGTGGGAGAGCATCTGAAATATCCAATTGCCAAGTAAGACCGTAACAGCCAGCTGACCCCGTCGTGAGACGGAAAACAAGGTTCCAAGAGCCTTGCGGGTCCTAAAAGCATTTCAAGCTACGAAAATTGCTATGTTTGATGCAGGAAAATGCTTTTTTTACTTTTTACATTTCAGAAAAGGGGTGTCCGACCTTCATTCCCCGCAAAAGGGTCTCCGACTCTCACCCCCGCCTCCTTGGCTACGCCCCATTTTCTAAGTACTATCCTATTATGGCCCCACTACCGATTTACTGATCTGTTTTCTTTGGTTTTGTTTATCTTAACAAGTTAGTTTAGCAAAGGTGTTGTACAACTTACTAGATAAACAGAGAAAAATGGGGTATTATTCTAGCCCGATGGTTTTTAACCGAGGACGCAGAGCGGGGCCCGTGTTCTCCATTAGGGGCCACAGAGGAGTTGTAGGGGCCATAATACTAGGCTAAAAATTAATTTTATTGCAATTTTGTTCGCATACTTCTCTGAAAAAAATTGATTTGCAATTGCAATTTCTCTCTGAATAAGGACTCGATAAAGCAAAATAGAAGACGCGACTATGTTTTTTTGAGGGACTGGTATCTTTCTGCTCGTTTCCATATTTAGTCTGGCTGATTTATAACACTGACTGAAGTGGCGGTAGTGAGCTGATTATCTTTTTACGGAGTATTCCAAACCTCTAATCAAACAAGTCTCTGAGCAAGCAAACACTTTAAACTGGCACTTGAAGAGCTAATATGTTCCAGCTAGGGTATACTGACCATTGCGCATATAAACTTTTCATCAATAATTATGTCCGCAAAATTTTTAGAATAATTCCAGGAACAGTGAAATAAATAACAACATAGCTATAAGCAATTTAAGCTTATTTTATAATACCAGGACTTATGGTCGAGATCTCTCCTTGTGTATCACGCCAGATTTTAGAGTAAGACCATCGCGCGTATAAATTTCTTATTAATAGTAATTTCCGCAAATATTCCCCAAATACAGGGCAATAAGTTGCACCAAAGCGATTGGCAATCCAAGCGTATTTTATAATACCAGGACTTATGAATGAGAACCCTTCAATAAATATTCTGTATCAGGGCTATCACGCCAGCTCTAAGATCCTAGAGATAATGAATTTCTCATTAATAGTAATTTCCGCAACAAATTTTAAAAAATTCCACAAATACAGTGTAATAAATAACAACATAGCAATCTAAGCTTATTTTATAATACCAGGACTTATGGTCGAGAACCCTCCATGAATCGAGAGTCTCTTGGCATTTCCAGAACACGGGAATGCTTCCCTAACACCCCGTGTCTTTGTATTTGAGCCGCTCAAAGAACCCTTGAGTTTGAAGAGTTGAACTTATTGGAAGGAGGTGTTAAGACTATGCTATTTTAGGAGTGTAAACTCGAGTTAGTTTGTTTACCACTTTCCTGCTGGTATTTTGTTCAGCTGGTTTGTTAAACTTTAACTGCTGTAAGGAACTCAGATTTTGGTAGTTGCGCTGGATTGTGTGTTTTTTTATGTCTAGCAATTTAAACGATTACGCATTTCATCGAAATTTCTATTTCCGAAACAGGTTTTTTCGCAAAACTTTCTGCGCTGCACACACTTTAGTTATCTTGATAGATGTATTGTATCTTGTAGATATATTGACACATTTTTTGTTTGAAAAAGCTCTTATATACTTTTTAGCGGTATTAGGAAGCAAAATGAAGGGGTGTAAAAAATATGCACCGACGTAACATTACGTAATTATGTACACATAAAGACAAATGGTGAATTTAAATGATAATAAATGACTTTTCGTCTGTATTTGATTTTTCACTACCTTTCTGCTGCTTTGCTGTTGTTTCATTTTGCTGTTTATTTTACCTTGGACTGTTGCAAAAATTGAGGGTGGGAGTCGTAGTTATGTTCAGATAAATGTCAGTTCGCATTATTACATTTTAAAAGTTAACCATCGCCTGCTTGTCAATGAAATTTCTATGATAGTTTACGCATGTCTGCGTTGTAGGCAGACAGCTTTGTATACCATCTGTGGATCAATTGACGCCCAGATAAAGCCCTTAGAAAATCATCAGGGGCTCTCTTTTATCAGTAATATTTTCATTCTAATTGAAAGCTCGCAAACGAGATTGCATTAGAACGCCACTACAGATGTGAAAAATACAGTTATTACACGTACTACCAGTATGAAGCAAAAAGAAGGAAAGAAGTTCCAGGGATTTACACTTTTTGGAATTACCTTTCAATTTGTCCCAGATAATTTAAATGTTTGGGATATATCTTCTTTGTTATGGTGTTCATTTTTTATGCAGATGATATTGTTGTTTTGCCAATAAGCATACAATACGATTATCGCAGATCAGTTTTAACTTTCTTCGCAACTTAGTGGATAGTATGAGCGTCAAGCAGGTAAAACTGGGATATATCAACTAACCCACGGAGAATTTAAAGCGTTGTCGGAAGAAGCTGGACATCAGGTATGTAAGTATCTACAATATTATATGTCAGAGTTCCTAGTCAGTGGTTCATGAACCCTCTAGGGCGGGAGTGGGCAAATTACGGCCCGCGGGCTGGATCCGGCCCGCCGAATTGTTTAATCGGGCCCATTCGTGTCGTGATGAAATTACGACTATAGTTTTCATGGATATAAATTTATGGTGAAAATATTGATGAAAAAACCTGCTTATTATTATATAAACATTAGCCTAGCTGTTGTGAATAAACTGTTATTATTCATTGTTACTCATATTGTTTTGAGTCTCCGTTGCAATAATAAATAGTATTATTTGTAATTGGCCCACTCATAAAAGCAACAAGACATGATGTAAAAAATTGTTTGATTATGTTACTTTTCACATTTTGTCTGGGAATAGATGTTACTTGACTAAGGTCTATTTTTATTGTTTAGCATTTTCTTACGTCTGGATAGCGCTCGTGGTTGTATTAATGTAAACAATGGCATGTAATTAGAGTTTTTCAGTATTTCATTTCTCATTGTAGTAATTTTAATTTGATTTTGTCACGCTCGGATAGCGCCGGTGACGTCATATAGGTAAACACAAAGAGGCTGTCCTCGTTTTTGAAGTAGATGAATGAGAAATCGCGTATGGATTTAGTAGGTCATTTGTCTGTGAGAGTAGTTGCGTTGTGTAGCCTAGCAAATTTGGATTTGGAATTACTATAAGGTAGTGTAACATTTTATATAGTTATCAGATGAGATAACGCTGGAACAGACAGACTTGAATCACCTTAAAATGCGACTTTGGAAACGGCGGTTATGTGTAATTAGGTTCCCGTACATTTGAACCCACGACAATTGCACCTGCATATACGGTATTGCACATATGGTATTTTGGTTTTGTTTTGCGGATATTTGAACCCATACTAACTCTAACCCATGGGTTTTAGCACCCGCATATGGATTGAATCCGTGGATATACACATGGGTTCAAATTTACGTGTGTTCAAATGCACCGGTCATCGTGTAATTAATGAGGAGTATTTGGCTTCATGCCTCTCTTTTCATTGAATCCCTACTGCTTCTAACGAAATACTGTCGTAACCACTTTGATTCATGGGAGCCAGAGCTCTGAGACGAAAGAGCCGCATCTTAGATTTGAGCCGCAAGCACGTAAAATTTAATGTGGATATTAGATGAGGTAATGCGAGACTAATTCCTTATCCTACATCTGTGCCTTCGCGCCAGTGGATCTAAGGAGCAAGGATGCTGCAGCAGGGGTGAAGATATTAACTATTTTACGTGATTCAAGAGTCTTGCTATCTGACACTCAAGATACAGAAATATAGGCCTATATAATATGGGATGTCAATAAAGTCCCTTCACAATTTCCATTTTGTTATGAAAACAGTTCTAAATATATTTTATTCAGGTTTGTTGCTTTTCAATCGATATTTGTTTGAGTATTTTTACTTTATTCAACATCTCCATGTAATCTGTGAAGGCCAAAACAATATATGGTATCGCTAAATTCCCTTTACAACTTTAAAATATTTTAAGACTTTATAGACATCCTATATTACATTGTAATGTGAAATTTTGAAACAGCTTAATAGCCGTTTTGATTGTCGCTACGGATCGCCTAACACAAATTCATAAATGAGGTTATACCAAATTGTTATATGCAGTGAAATTTGGAATGTCAGTGCTAATATATTGTTATTGATATACAAATAGCAGAGTAATGCATATTTCCTGTGGTGTATTTTTTTGCTGGATATTTTTCAGATTTTCGTTTTTTAGAAAAAAGCTTGTCTTAAGAAACGTAAATTGAAAAGGTCTTTGATTTATAGGTAAATACATGCACTAAATTTTATACTCTGTAACCTGAATAACGTTGTAAGGTCTCGCCCAGTATACCTTTCGAGGTCCCTCACGTTTGTCACACTATATAAGTTATAGTTATCGAGCTTTGATATTTGTGATTTTTTTGATGTGGCGTTCAATTGTGCTGGCAAATTTTGATTGTTTTCTATAATTAACATTTATTAGTGCAGAGATCGCTCGATTTTATTATGGAGTTAGTATTGTTGTATCTGATAATGACTCATTTATACGTGTTGCCAACTCATGCCGGCGTATCGCTGTTTGATATTGTTGCCGAGAAAATGTCGAAACGGGAGTTCTCGAATGACAACGATATTCATGTTAATGATGAAAATAGCATGAAGGATTTTGTTAGCGCGGAAGACATTTGGGATGAAGATAGGATCAAGAAAATGTTGGGATTGGATTATGACGAAATAGGTGAATCTAGGGAAGAAAACATTGACAGTTTCGAGATGCGAGGTGAGTTTCAAGGTAAGTAAAGAATTTAAAAGTATTTTGAGGTTTTCGGTACAGAATTCTGGAGGTTTGATTAATGTCTTTATTGAAGTGAGCTTTATAGGCATCTTCAATTAAGAAGAAATAAGGAATATCAAGCTTCGATCCTCTCTCTCTCTCTCTCTCTCCTTCTCGCTTAATTAAGTCAATAATTTAATTTTACTTCTAGATAGGAATAACAAATATTGAGATAAAATACAGCCGCGCTACATGTTAAAATGCTGTGGAAATAATATTTAACTGTGAAAAGAATTCTTGGGAAATTAAACCGATAAGCTTGTAAAGTTAAATTTTCAGAACAAGGTGTTAAGCTCAAATTGAGTACGTTTTTTCAATTTGTGATTAAGATCTTAATGCCGGCTGATTCACTGCTTATCCAACTCATCAAATTCTCATTCTTTGACTCTAGATCAAGAGGTTCCGAGCCTTTTATCCGCCTTATACAACAAAATGAATGAACCTGGTTCCACGGTCATTCCGTTAAAATGCAAGATACCTGGAATGAAAGGAAATGTTGTCAGAATGCTTAACAATAAAGGTAAGTGGAGTCAATTTATTAAAAGTTGTTTACCAAATGATTGTATCCGGTACGCCATTTATTATTTTTATTGAACGCGAAGACGCATGTAGATCATGTGCAATAATGGTATTGTATTGGTGGAACAAAACCGCTTTCATCTGCTCGTAAGAGGCCAATCGAGTTTTTAAAATACTCAGAAGTCAGACGAAATTACGTGCGATGCGAGATACTTTGTAATTTTTATAGTACGATTGTATATTACACAAACGTGTGAAAACACCAAAATATGTGAACATTTTTAATCAAGCTAAATTTCTAACGGGTCTTTTAAAGCGTATGTAGAGTGCATTTCGGCGGATCTGGCGTGAAAATACGTTAACATCAATCACTGATTTGTAACTAATCGTTTCATCTGCCCGAGTTTGATCAATTTCATTTTTGCAATGTAACGAGTTGGTTGATAAGGACACGCGTGCTTGATCGGAACTTTATTTGCTCTACGTGATTTATCCGATTATCAAGGTAATGATTCTTAAATATGTTCCATATATGCTCGGTGGTTCTTTTACATCGTTTTCCCGCGCACCACATTAACCAATTGTACATAGCAATACGATATATGTGGCCAAACCCCACCACGAATGGTGTTCTTTATGGCAAAGGCCTTATAAACTCAACCCGCGATACTTCACTGTGTTGTTTCGTTATTTGAAAACATCTAGCGCCTCTAGTGGAAACCACGATTGTACCAACCTGATTATAACCAGATAGCCCAATTATTATAGGATCGGGCTATGGATCTAATTAGGGCTTAATTAACTGAATCAATTATCTACATTTTAATGGTTCCCCGCCCAGTTTAACGCGATCCATAATTTCACTCGGGTGCAATACGTAGATTGAGTACTATGTGATAATTCAAGTGATTCGAAATCCTTTCCGAAAACTTTTCGTTTAAATTCACCAAGAACGTATCTCCGCCTCTCAAACCTACTATAAACACCCTGGCTTGCACATTTTGTATCATTTTATTCGAACCAATGCCGCATGCGTCCACCGGACAAGAATGTGCGCCCATTCGGGAGCAAAGTTGCGAGCAACGTTCCTCCAAGACAGGGGTGTGCAATAGGCGACCCGCGGGCCACAACCCGGCCCGCCAAGACAATAAGTGTGGCCCTTGTCAACACTCAGATATTTTCCCACTAAGCATCAAATTCTAACCTGAAAGTTCATGTTTAAAAAAGCGCACACAGGGGTTAAAATCCATAATTTTGAGGCCTTTTGTCATTTTGCCTTTATTATTGGAAGACTAAGCGATAGCCTTTTTGTTGTGAGAAATGTTCAATTCATTTTGTACCTGAAAGATATTGAATTTTTTTGAATGGCCCGGCTAGATGTCAGAAGTTGGTTATAGGGCCCGCCGACAAAAAATGTTGCACACTCTTGCTCTAGCAGCTTGCTTAGTTGTGAGGAATAGAAGGCCATGTGAGCTCTGCGAGGAAAATTGAAAAAAATAGAAAAGAACACAACTTTTTAAACGAACGCAGCGCGCGGCAGAACGAAAGTACTGCGCTGGGATTCTCGGGAACGTTGGTTGCGAGAACCATTGACCTTCAACCTTCACTCAAAGTACTATATCTATTGTACTTTTTCATACTTTTAATACGAACCACAATTATTAAAATTAGCACAAATATCACGATTTCGGGAGAATACAAATATCACGATTTCGGGAGAATAAAAAAGATCAGGGAAGGGGCGCGCTTGCATAGCAATGCCGACTTTGATCGTAAGACACGAGAAGCGGCGCGATACTCGGAACAGGGGGTTGCGAGCCTAAAAGTTAGGGAAGCCCTGAACTAGAAAAGCGCCAGTATGTCATTACGTTTGTCAAAAGATTGCAATTTTTCCGCATCTGCTTATAGCAATCTATTACATCATGATTGAGGGCATAATTTTTTTTCTATTTCAGGATAATTTACGCAAAACATGGTAATGTCCCTTCGCTCAGATCAAAAAGACTAATTGTTTAGCACAGTTATGAGTGGGTCTAACTTGATACTCAAACGGTTTTACCCGTTTTTTTTACCAGAAACTACGAAACGCCGGCCTTACAAAAAAGTAATTGTAGCTCCTGGTGCGTCAATGGTTCTCGCAACCAACGTTCTCTTTAAGCTGCGCAGCTTGTCTAGTTCAGGGCTTCCCAAACTTTTAGGCTCGCGACCCCCTGTTCTGAGTAGCGCGCCGCCTCTCGTGTCTTACGATCAAAGTCGGCATTGCTATGCAAGCGCGCTCCTTCTCTGATCCTATTTATTCACTCGAAATCGTGAGATTTGTACCAGTTTTAATAATTGTTTTTCGAATTAGAAAAGTCTAAAAAAGTACAATAGGAAATTGGTGTACTCTTTGCGACCTGTAGAATTCACAGTTCTTCAGTTTAGGAATCCTTAGTCTAAAAATCCTTGTTCGAGGCAATAAAGTAACACCTGATACAATAAACAACTTTAATAGCAAACATAATTGAAGGTTAAGTGTCCATTTTAAATCGACCACCCTGGAATATTTGTTTTCCTAATTGAAGCAACGTCAGCCCTTAAGGACGTAAATGGCAAACACATCCTGGTAAAATCAAATATTATTCGTTAATTTGTCTATCCGGGAGAAACACTTGTTTCTTTCAAACAAAACTTAATTATCTTGGCGGTTTTTGAAGTGAGAATAAAAAAGTAAAAATTACCAAAATTTTGGTGTTTTAAATTCTGATCTCTGTTATTTATTGATTTGTTGTGTATTTCATGCCACTACTATAGACAAGGGTTTAGACTTTATACAAGCAGGGGGACGTAGATAGAAATTTTTAAAGGGTGGGGGGGGATTCTATTTGCCAAGTTAGATCGAAACAGCTAACGGGTCCGTCCGAATGCCGGAAACGTGTGTTTTCATGAGTCTTGAAGATCTAAAAAGACGTTTTTAGACGGGTTTCACTGTTTTTAAGATGCTATTATTTTTTTACATTTCAAAAAGAAGGGGGTTCCCCCCCAAACCACCCCCATGGCTACGCCGGTATACAAGCACTATTAAAGCTCTTAAATGAGACTAAGAGGATTTCGTTTTCGATGTAAAGTTAATAAATTGGGCTTTGAAAAATCTGAAATACCCAAAATTTTTGCGTGATCCCATATTTTGAATTAAATGCATCTCAACCTTATTCTTTCAGGCTCTGTACATGTGGCCATCGATACTTGAGCGCAGGTCCGATGCGTGTCGGACCATCTCTTCTCCCTTTTAATGAATGTAATAAAAAAAACATCGTTCTGTATTATACATGTCAATTTGTTCGTAACTTGAAACGCTTTTAGACCCCCAAATCTCTTGGAAACCCACCCACCATTTAATAAAAATCTGATTTTCTTTTGTTTATCATATTGCCAACCTAATTCATATATTCGAGTTGGGAGCGCCTCTGTTTGATGAACCACATTTTATTAAAAATCTGAGTTTATTACGATTTGCCAATCTATGTCTTTGTATCTGCGTTCGGTAGTGGGCATGTCCCCCTTCCATCAGTTTTGTCACAATGTACAAGGCACACCACTATTTTCGAAAAATTTGTGGATTTGGAGATTCGGCGATGCCTCCACAATTTATCACATTTAAAATGATGCGTGAAATCCATAACCTACCACACCAACAAATTTAGGACAGATACGCCACTTAGTAGACCATAATCAACGGATCACACGAAGATCCCTAACCTAGCCCCGTCCCCTCATCCCCGCCACCAAAGTATCCAACCGAAAATCCAAAGTCGCGCTCATATGAACATCCCTTCACCTCCATGCTAGATCATGATGGATCATATATTGATCATAGTATCGTCCGGTTAGGGTTGGTCATTGGTGGGGCCTGTTCCTCTCTCTCAGTCTCGATCATATGAAGATCCAAGTAGATTTTGGGGGGGGGGGAGACGAGGGGGAAGTACCGACAACCTATAAACACCATGAATAATTGGGTACTGCCGAAGTATGTGAACCAAGATGGCGAACACCGGACGTAGTATGTGTACCAGGTTAGGGTTAGGCCATAATTTCAGGTGAAAATACTACGGGAGTCACTCGGCTAGTCCCCGAACTCGTAATAGAACTGAAATAAGGAAAATTGGAATAAAATTATGGCCTAACCCTAACCTGGTACACATACTACGTTCCATTGTCCGCCATCTAAGTTCACATACTCCGGGAGTACCAATAATTGTCATTGAAAACGCCATTTCTTTAGTTACATTAAGATTCAAGTTAAAATTCAGGTTAATTTTAGTAGTTTACGTCCAATGTTCATTTTTTACGCTCACGCGAGCCAAGTTATCACAGGTGCGAATAATAAATTAATCTACCATTTGTGGTAAAAATAAATAATACCGCGTTTCAAGATGTTAATTTTAATTTGATATTTATTTGCCCACCCCTAAAGTGGTCGTAAATATATGGCTAACAATACCATGATGATTTAACCAATATTGAATAATAGGATTCATTATTTGCTTGTGGATTTGTGGTAATGAGTGCTAACGCCCATTTATATGTGGACTGGGTGATTTTTTTTTCTTTTTTTTAAATGTAATGAGCGCTAACGCATATTTATATATGTAAGCTGTATTTTTTTTAAATTTGGTAATGAGTGCTAACGCCCATTTATATCTGGGAGGTGTATTTTTTCGGAACGTAATGAGTGCTAACGCATATTTATATATGAAAGATGTATTATTTTGTTGAAATTGTGGTGCTGAAGTACAGGATAAGTGTACATCAGTGTGCTGTGTATTTATGTTGGTATGTAACAATACTTTGGAATTGTTTTAGCCTGGGGTAGTGGAGCGATAACATGCGGTGAAAGCATTGGGTGTGATACATTTTTTGTCGGTGGGCCATACAACTGCAGACATCTAGATTGACTAACAAAAATATTGTTCTTCGTACAACAAATTATAAAATTATCACAATGAAAAGCCCATCCTCACA